AGATGCTCTGCTGGAGAAGGAGGAGCAATATCCTCCTGTACCAGTCAGATCTGATTTGACGGTACACACACACACAAAATAATAATAATTTTTAAAAATTTTTTTTAAATGGTGCTACTGACTATAAACAGAAAACCATTCTGAAAGCCTGATGGAGTGTCAGCTAATGAGTTGATTCTGAATCAACAGCAATGACAGAAAGAGAGAGACTTAAGAATACAGTTTAACAACTGCTTCAGTTAGTAAAGTACCAGAGAAATTAGAAAAATCTCCAATTCAATAATCAAATATTTGATATAAAGTATTGCCTACCAACACTCATAAAGCTAACTTTTGAAAATAGAGACTGTAATAAAAATTTGGTTCTACAGATAGCCTAATACTTCTAGATCTACCTCTAAAGCTTTACTGTAAATACCTTACTCACATATAAAGTGAAATTGTGTAAGTCTGATTGACAATAGTATTGTATTCTAATTAGTGAAGTAGTGAAATCCACAAGCACAGTGAAAATATGCTTTCTAACATAATAAATGGTTTACTGCCATCAAGTAGGAACATTTAAAGATAAATGAATGGCAATGGTAATTTTAATCTCTCAGAATAAAAAGAATACATATTGTTCTATCTTTAGTTTCAACTGTGACTACACCATTAAGAACACTGAATAGACAAGTACATAAATTTTACTTATTGTGTCAATTCAGCTTTACACTATAAAATATCCCAAAAATGATATTTAAGGTTATCAAAACAAAAACATTTTAGATTATCTTTCTCTCTGCTTTTAAAGAGTCTCTTTGTTATAGGGTTTTTTTTTAAATTAATTTTAATGAAAATTTACAGAGACTTAGGGTTTCCAGTCATTCATTGTTGCACTTTTCTCCCTGCCCTGCCACTCCCCTCCAATTCGCTCTTCTCTTTGAAAAGTAAAAGAAAAATTCTTTCATTGTTATATAATCCTTCCCCCCCAAGTCCATTCCACGGTGTAGCCTTCACTTTGGACTCCTGTCATGATATATATCCCAATCATATATCCCTTTTAAACAGTTTTCTGCCTCATCTGTTTCAATGCAGTATACATTATTTATTCCCTCTTCGCATCAGTCTTCCCTCAACCCCGATGTCAGTCCCGTTTTACAACAGTGGCTTTATGCAATATATGTCCTTTTGTGACTGAGATACTTCACTCAGCATAAAGTACTCCAGGGTCACCCATTTTGTGTAATATTTCGTAAGTTCCTTATTTTTCAATGCAGCATAGTATTCCATTGTGTGAATATACCAGAGGTTCTCCATCTATTTGTTTGTTGATGGGCACATGGGTTGTTTCTATCTCTTTGCTATTGTGAACAAAGATGTGATAAACATGGTGTGCATATATCTGCTTGGGTGGCAGTTATGGTTTGTTTAGGGTATATTCCTAGTAGTGGAATTGCTGGGTCACATGGTATTTCTATTTGCAACTTTTTGAGAAAGTGCCATACAGCCTTCCAAATTGGTTGCACTACTTTACACTCCCACCAACAGTGAATAAGGGTTCCAGTTTCTCTGCAACCTCGCCAGCATTTGATGTTTGCTCTTTGTTATAGTTTTATTGATCTAGTTAACAACAAGTAGAACTAAACTCTGCCCTCCATTACAAATAAACAAAGTCCACTAAATAAAAATTGGGGCACAATTTTAAGCAGTGTAGAAGAGATTTAAAAACAAACAGGAACAAAAAAGTTAATCTACTAACTAAAAATCGTAACACAGATTAGTATTATCATATCATCTGGCAAAGCAACTATTCCTTTTTTTTTTCCAGATTTTTCGCTTTATGGTCAAAGACAATGATTTTATTTAGATCTATATTCCACAACTTCTGACTCAACCTCAACACAATAGAAATGGTCCTTTATAAAAATGAAAAGCCTGTAAGCTTGATCCTGTACAAGATAAGTACCTAGACTAGTAAAATGGAACTCTAAAATAATCCATCCACCTGTGGCCAACTCAGGGAGATCTGGAAACATAGCCTATTGGGAGATAACCTAAAGACTGTGCTTCTCTGGCAGTTCAAATCCACCAGCTGCTCTAAGTTAGAAAGATGGTTCATTTCCTCCTGAGATTTACAGCCTCCAAAAAGCTGCTGGAGGGTCTGCTAGGCATAGCAATGAGGGGTTTTAGATGAACCAACGATCTTACAAAAAGAGGGGAAAAATCCATTAAGTAAAACAAACACCACTTCTTTAAAAAATGGTGTGAGCAAAACTGAATTCACAGGGGAGCTCTGGTGGCCTAGTGGCAAGAAGCTGCACAGCAATCCCAGAGGCGCATGGTTCAAATCCACCAGATGCTCTGCCGAGGAAGGAGGGACAATCTCCTCCTGTACCAGTCAGATCTGATTTGACGGTACACACACATAAAAATAATAAAATAAAAAATTAAAAAAAAACTGAATTCACTAATTACTATGATGCTAACCTTCACTGAAACAAAAAAACCCCGATTTTTTTTAAAAGAGGAAAAAATCCTATCAAAACAATTCCTTAGGCTTAAAAAGAATATGTTAGTAAGAACTTCCCCTTTCCTTTTTTTAAAAAAAAATTTAATGACCGTTTACAGAGATTCTGGATTTCCATTCATTTATTGTTGCACTTTTCTCCTGCCCACCCCTCCCCCCAGTTCATGCCTCTCTTTGAAAAGTAAAAGAAAAATTCTTTCATTGCTATACAATCCCCCCACTTCTCCCCCCAGTACACTCCATTATGCAACCTTTATTCTGGACTCTTGTCATAACCATAATACCCAATCATATATAGCTTTTAAACTGTTCTCTCCCTCATCTGTTTCAATGCAGTATACATCATTTATCCAATTTTTCTCAGTCTTACCCCAACCCTGATGTCAGTCCCGTTCTACAATAGTGACACTATGCAGTATTTGTCCTTTTGTGACTGAGATATTTCACTCAGCATAATGTCCTCCAGGGCCACACATTTTTAATAATATTGCATGGGTTCCTTGTTTTTCAATGCAGCCTAGTATTCCATTATGTGAATATACCACAGCTTCTCTATCCATTTGTTTGTTGATGGACACTTGGATTGTTTCTAACTCTTTGCTATTGTGAACAAAGCCGCAATAAATATGGGTGTGCATATATCTACCTGGGTGGCAGTTATGGTTTCTTTAGGGTATATTCCCAATAGAGGAATGTTGGATCAAATGGTATTTCTATATGCAACTTTTTGAGAAAGCACCTTCCATAGTGGTTGTACCATTTTACACTCCCACCAACAGTGAATAAGGAAAACTTCCCCTTCTAAGTATGTGGCAGAGAACCTAAAAATATATCCTTCTCATATTATCCTTTCAGAAAGATCTGCAGTCACAGAAAAATGCTTGCTCCTGAAGTCCAGTGACTAAATAGCTCAATCTATGAGTCAAATCTTGTATAAGATTGATGAACAGTCTTGCTAACTTTCTTGCTGTTGTTAAGTGCCTTTGAATCAATTATGATTCATGGCAACAAAGAATCTGAACCCTGTCCTATCCTGTACCATCCTCATCAACTCTGACACGTCCACTATTACAGGCACTGTGTCAATCCATCTCGTTGAGAATCTTCTCCTGTTCCCTGACCCTCCTCCTAAGTATGATGTCCTTTTCCAAGAACTGGCTCTTCCAAACAACATGCCATAAGTATGTGAGGGGAAATTTCACTAACCTTGCTTCCAAGGTGCCCCATGGCTATACCATTCCTAAGACTTATCTGTTCTTTTGGTAGTCCATGAAATACTGAGCACTCTTCTCTAACACCACAACTCAAATGTTATTAATTCTTTTTCTGTCATCCTTAGCCATTGTCCAACTTTCAGTTGCACAACAAGTAACTAAAAAAGCACGTTTTGGATCAGGTGCACACCTTAGTTTTCCAAATATCATCACTGCTCAGGAGTGGTCCCTGACATACTCTCCAAAGTTAAGACTTTCCCAATGAAATCCATCTTTTGATTTCCTGGCTGCTGGTACCAAGGATGTTGTTTACTGTGGATCCAAGCTAAATGAAATCAGTGACAATTTCTATCTCTTCTCCATCTATCATGATGTTGCCTACTGGCCTGGGGGTGAGGATTTAACTATTACTACCAAGTACTTTCAAAGCAGTGTAGGTATTTCTCAGTCTTCTCTGGAAGGGATATCAGTATTTAAAGATTTCTGCTCTTACAGTTTCTCTATAAGTCTACTATACAGAAAGATATGAAAAATCTCTTATCAGTAGAATGTGGTCAATCTCATGGGTGGGGAAAAATAACCCAAAACAACCCTTCAGGTGAACAGGCCAAAGTTCTATAAATTCAATAATCTAGATTTTCTAGTACAATATACATAATCTCTCTTGATTTGTTAAGGAAAACAAAAAAACAGAACAGCAATCTGCCTGATATTATTACTAGAGCATCTCTAAAAGTTTTTCTTTTCTACGGTGAATTATTTTCTCTACCTTTTTCATTTCTTCAACATATGCAATCATGGCTTCCTCTTTCGTCATATCACCCAATGAACTCCAAGCATCCCTAGAAATGAAATATTCAAATAATGGTAAAGTGCAATCTGAGTTTCAATTGCTTATAATACAATTTATACTTGGGCAGTAACTTAAAACAGGCTTACTTAAAAATATGTTACATATTTCCAAACCTGTTGCTGTAAAGTCAATTCCAACTCATAAATACCCAACAGGACAGAGAACTATACCATAGGATTTCCAAGGTTGTACCTTTGCAAAAGCAAATCATCACATCTTTCTTTAACAGAGTAACTGGCGTGTCCAAACTGTCAACCTTTTGGTGGGCAGCTGAGCTCTTAACTGTTCACTGCACTACTAGGACTCCTTTATTAACAAGATCTTATTTAAAGGATCTCTTTAAATGTGTCATCTTGAAAAATATCACGTTTAGTAAATTACTATTTAAAAGTAGAAACCAGATACAATCTACTTATTAATAGACCAGAGGCTATAGACCATTCATAAATAATTTCCAAGAATTACTTGAAAATATATTAACATAAAGAACAGGACCAGAAATGAACATTTTAGAAAACTTTATGAATTGTCCCACACATATTTTAAATGAACAAACACTGTGGCTAAGTTTCTGCTAATTTACATAACTTATACACTCAAATGAAAAATCAAAATAGTTTTGTACCTCTAAAAAAATGAAAATATGAGGGATAGGAGATTTTTCAACTTCTAAATAATGACAGTGAGAAAACAAAAAAAAAGATGCTATAGAGTGGACTTCAACTCATGGCAGCCTTGTGTCTGAATAGAACAGTGCTCCATAGAGTTTGTAAAGCCTGCTTTTTTGGGGAAGTAAAGCATCAAGCCTTTCGACAGAGATACCTCAGCTAAGCACATTAACCACTTACGCCCACCAAGGCACTCCAGAAAATTATATTGATTCTTTTAAATTTTTACCTAACATGATAATCTCCTTTAATGCATATTTCCAGAGACATTTTAACTTCACTAAAGTTATTTTGATCAAAAAAATAAAGTAAATTTTCTTAAAGTGGATTACTAATTAACCTGTTATAATTTTCACTTACACTGTTAAGCTGCTTTACAACTATTCTAAAAGGTCTCAGAATTTGGTAACAGGAAGAAACCTTCAATTAATCGCAAAAAATTTAACATCAAAATAAAAAAATTTCATACACTTAGCATACCCTGCTCATAAAGTACAATCTAAAACTGAATTTTGCCAAACATTCGAAAAAGTAGTATTCAGAAGTACCAACACTGTACTTAATATAGTAGAGGATAAAAAGAAACCCCCAACCAAACACCAGAAGACCTTTCATGATGGATTACTGACACAGTGGCTGCAACAAAGGCCTTAAGCATTGCAGCGCCTGAGCAAAGCACAAGATTGGCAGGATCCAATCTGTGAGAACAGGGTAGCTGTGAGTTGGAGCTGACTCAAAGGCACCTAAAAACAACATGTGTTACTCAACTGGAAAGGAGTCCCATTAGTTCAACGGTTAGCTGCCTGTCTCCAGTGTCTCATCAGGGAGAAAACGGACTGGTCATCTGTGCCAATTAAGATTACAGTTTAGAAAACCTAGACAATTCTACTCTTTCATGTAGGATCACACATGTTAATTAGGAAAATGCCAGGGGTGTCTTTGGAAATTTTTTAATTCCTTAAAGACAAATTAATGTTTTAAGTATACTTAAAAGTCAAATTAATGCTTCTATTCAAGTATGGGGAGCTCTGGTGGCACAGTAGTAAGGAGCTGCACTGACAACCTGAAGGCACACGGTTTGAATTCACCAGCTGCTCCACAAGAGAAATATGAGCAATCTCCTCTGGTGTGATTTACCACCTCTGAAAACCTACAAGAGGATCAGCTATAAATTAGATCCATCTCGATGGTACACAAGAACACAATTCAAGTATAGTGAGCCTGGCGTAAATAAGAATTCCCGGGGGGGGGGGGTTTTTCTTTTGCTTTTCAAGGAGAGAAGCAAACGGGGGGGCGGGGGGGGTTTGTGCAGGGAGAAGGGTGCAACAATGAATTAATGGAATTCCAAAATCTCTGTAGATGTTCATTGAAATGAAAAATAAACAACCTAAATTAAAAAAAAAAAAGAAAGCAAA